TACGCGAATATCATCTTAATGGTTTTCTCCGTTTACCCACATAACCTCAAATCTCTTGAGACGCTGTCGTTTAAGACGGCGCACGTGTTCCTTTTTCATCGACTACGTATCTTCGCACAGCTATACTTACCGCTTTGCCATACACCATAAATTATACTCGTCTACCATGGTCGCCGATGTTACTAGATAAATTACGGTAACTTCAGTTAACTCGATTTTTCACTCGGTACGCGTACGTGAGAAAGTCGAGTTACGGCACATTTCTTTTGGCTTTTTTCTAGTCTTCTCACTGCCCCCCCTTTACGCCTCTCGTCCATACATTCAACTTAACCAGGGGAAAGTAATAACTTATAAAAGTATAATCGCTACCGTGGATCTAGCGTTGCTCGCGATCCAGCGTCTTTCTTAATTATTGCATCGAATACAAGTAAAGTCGGTTCTTCCGAGATACATCGGATTGTCTGACTACCAGTTAACATCTGTATTATTAATTCCGACTGACTTCAGATATACATCTTAAAATCGGTACATGGCCAGAGAGATGGATCGATTTGAATCTTAGTAAGCTGTAGCTACAGCTATATACGTATATATATATATATATATAACCATTAGATGGTTAAATTTAATTGACCTAACGTGCGTTTTCCAAAGTCGACGAACTCCATGAATGAATTCCTTTTGAAAACGTAGAGATCAAAGGTGCCAACCTCGTTAAACCACCAACGGAGGAGGTTAAAACTCATAACGACGTGTTTGTTAGCCACAAAAGCCAGTTGACGTGCCAACTGACATTTGTGTCATCGACGATGTAAGTGTACTGGAGACTCAATGCATAAAGATGAACGATGAACTCTTGGAGTGACGGCATTTTCGATGTTCCGGTTTTGTCAGTACCAAGTAAATGGGCTTGTCAAGCGATCGAACATCATTTCCTGTACAATGAAAATTTTTTCAATTAGACACGTTTCTGTTACTCACTGACAGCTCTGATTCGTCCCGTGTACACTGGGCTTTGATTTTTAAACCATTTTTGGACATACACTTACCATAGCAATGACTCCGTCCGCTTCCGTTAATCTCTGGGAAGCAAGATCAGACTTCATGGGCACGAGTGGTGATCCATTTGTGTCAGCGACCTACGAAAGTTAAGGATACTGTTATGCCGAAACCAGTGCAGCTAATGTCAGATTAAATTAGCCGTTGTAGGGGAATAGTCGGAGGAAAAAAAATGTCTTGGAACACAATTGCCCGTGACTCGTCGGGAGATGTTGAATTAAAGATAAGAGGACTGCAATAAGAAAGTGCGATAAAAGTCATCGGGCCAGGAACATCCCGTACGATGAGTAGACTATATTATTGTGGACCTAATATAATTGAATATATATAACTATATACACGTGTACGTTCTATATTCCTTACAATCGACCCACCTGACACTTTGGCTTTTGTACAGTTAATTAGGACTATCTCTAGTGGTGGACCATTTGACGATTCTATGTAAATAAACTATAATGAACGTAAATGTGTCTCTTTCATTCTTAAATAAAACCTGGTACGCCTAGTATGGATTTGAAGCCAGAAGAAACGTCATCGCCGGAAGGTACGTAAATTTAAATGAAATTCTATTAGCGTTATCGGACAAATAATTAAAAATCAATTATCCCGTTCCATCTTCAACATAGTAATCACGCGTTTTTACACAAATTATCATCAAATTATTTTTTTTTTTCTTTCCAGAAGATCGGTGTCGCTCGTCAATTTTATTGAATTTGAATTTCCCGCTCTTTTCATTGTCGTTAATTAAATTGGCTATACGAAGTGGAACGCCATTGCGGAGCCAGTTAAACGTGCGCGATTGACACCGAAATAATAAGACGACCACTTCTGCTCTAAATCGCAGTTGGCGTCGGAGCAATTTACAAAAACGCAGGAAGGAGAGATGTAATAAATAAATTAAAAAAAAAAGTCTTAATAGTTTTAAATCACGTGACAGCAACTAGCGGCGATGGTTTATTAACCCTACTTATAGTTGCGACAGCTGAAAGCCTGCTTAATGCAGAATTACGCAGAAATAAGAGCCACTCCGAGAGCACAAAGAGAGCAAAAACAAACCATGTACCAAATAACGCAACGACCCTGTATTCTATAGAAATGAAATAATCGTACGTTAAAAACGACGCTTATTACAGAATCTCCTTAAGACACACTCATGGTCCATCTAACTACCAAAAGTATGTACCGTTAAGCAGCTAGCTTCTTACTTCGACCATAAGTCGTTTCTTCTGATAACTTTTTCTTGCCGAACTCACGCACATCCTCCGATTCAATATGGCGATAATAGGTACCATCCAGTCATTGGACGGATCCCAGACTCTGTGTGTGCCCGTCGGGAACCAAGAAGGCAGGAAGTACTGGAATAAAGGGAACAAAAATCTTGTCAGACAAAGAAATATTAAATAGACGGACAAGGCAGGCGGAAAAATTGCACGAGTTGCTCGAATGGACTGAAGTTAGTAACGAACGTGAGCCACCATAGGGATTGACGTGGAACTAGTCGTGAGTCAGTCTAACAAAAATAATAATAATGGATGAAGATAAAAAATGGGCCCCGGCAAACGGACCTGGCCGTGTTATTCTTTGGGATTACCCAACGTTAGCTAACATAATTTTGATCTTTCGTTTCAGAAAGAGAAGTCTCCTCTGTGATGGAGAAGTAACTGTGTCCAAGTTGTGCAGTCTAATGCTCTGACTTCTAGGTTAGATTCGTCTTTGTTGATGAAAAGGATGTTGGGCCATGCGGATTAAATAGACCAAGAAAGCAGCAGGTACCCATTTCAATATGTACAGACCGTGTCTCAAACTGACGTACTCTTATTGTCCTTCCTTTGACCGGCCTATTTTGTCATTGCACTGTCCGGTACCTTTATTCCCATTAATCAGCCGTCACCAACAGACCATAATTTTATATTCTGGCTCACCTATTTCTCGGCGCGCAGTATAGATTTTTAAAAAGAATTTTTATTCCTCACTTTAATTTAAAGCTCCAAGTGTATCCTATATGTTATGCAAACAGATTCCATATGACAATACGCGTTCTCGATCACTTTTTTTATATTTCTTATATCCTGTTTGTATAGATACTTCGTGTACGTGAATAATTTACTTATTTCTTGTTCTGATATTACCAGCCTGTTACCTATTCAAATGTAATCTGGAACACATATCTATACATATGATACATTAGACATTTTTCTTTGACACATAAATTTGGAATTTGACACTAATACGTTGGCAAAGATTACTTATCATTATTTTATACGCAATGATTAATATGCGTTTTATTACGTAGTAGGTATTTAAAATCATTATCTACATTAAAGTCAGCTATGCTGTGGTAAAGATATATTATTCCAACACGGAGGATATCCTTGACAACGGTTAATGACTGCGTAAAGATTGACTAAAAGTTTCAATTAGAATTGTAATAGTAACACGAAAATCCTTAAACACAATAACGGCATGACCATGGAAATTCATAATGATTTTCTTAAGTTGCACGTTGTTGATCGTCGTACAGTATAATATTTGACGTTTGAACTTGCGCAGAGTATCAATAGCTGCAATAACATACCGAGACGATTATGTTAATTAGTGATGGCTACCATTCCGCGAGCTACGATTAACATGATTTACGTTCAATGTTTTATTGTAATCATGTTACGGAAACTAGTACGCGCCGTTGGCGACACTACTCACGTGCAATTGATAAGTAGCAATGAGCTCGGTAGCTGGCGAAAGACGATGGAGAATAAAAATAATAATAAAAATGGAGAACCGTAGGTGGTAGAAGAATTCACACGATTTGCATTTAAGAAATCGCCGATCGTTATCGGCGAGCGTGCGGCACGGTTGATATTAAAGTCAATAAGAAGTCTTATACACGTATCCCTTCCAATTGAGCACGATTCCAATGATAATGATAATGATAACGAAGGAAAGTAAAACGAGACATATGTATCTCATGTGCGAGACGCTTAACGGACGTGTATCATATATGTATAGGAACACAGTTCTTTTTGATTGATCGAGACATCAAGCACGGCACTAATAAAGAGATAATAGAGATAATAAAGATAACCTCAGTTCTATCCTTAGGCATTGTATGTTTGTCTTTTCTTCCTTTTAATTTCATTTTCCGATCAACACTCATTACGTCCTTACACGTCGAAATATCTCAGTCCCGTGTGTTTCTCTGGTGTACGTACATGAGCATCAATGTTTTATATAATACAATTCGGAGAAACGTATATTAAGTGGTCCAATTTAATTCATACTATAAGTATCTTTAATGAGCGGTGTATGATTTCGAAAGATCATCGACCGATCTGATTGATATTGATGTCGGTACACTTGTTGGACGTGAATGTAATACAGTACAGAGATGTAGATTTAGAGTAAAATAAGAGGGACCGGAGATACGTATGTGGAAAATTTTGCGTGTAAGGTACCTGAAGATGATGAGGCTGGTCATCCTGGAAACTGAGGCAGTTGAATTTCCATTATTATCACAATCGTAGCGTTGAGCGACGCGACTGCGCGGCAGGTATGCACACCAAAAAACGAGTTACGCCGAGGGCCAAAGAGCAGCCATGCGCGTCAAAGGCTTTGTCGCCATTCCTCTCGCTATAACAGCGTATCTTTTTGTCCGTCTATAACTTCCACGAATCCTCGCTAATAGTAAATTATCCTGGGAGACCGAAGTAACTGGATTAAAGGCAGCAAATAAGAATATCGCAGGTTAAAAAGGACAGAAATCATCGGCGCGATGAAACCTATACGACTATGCGTCAGCTGCGAATCGGCGCGCGCATGCGCACTACGTTAACCAATGAATACAATCGTACAGCCATTCGTGGAAGCCCAATGGGCTAACCTAAAAATTCAAACAGGTGTCAGTGAAATTCCTTTGATCGTAAAAAGCTTCCCAGTAAATACGATACTTGGCGCCGAGACGCTACCGCGTCTCTTGATGTTATTATAACGTGCATCTGGTTGTTATTTCCTACTTATATGCATAACGTTAATATAAGAGCGCCGCCCGTAGCAAATTTTCCCATTGCCAATGGTTTTTTTATCAAAGGTAATGTGTTGCATATCAACGAAAATGAATGGCAAACCATTCGGTTATCTTTTGCAAAAAATCGCCCATTCCCTATGGGAAATTTTGCTACGGGTGTTCTGCTGACGATATGAAAAGGAGTGGGAAATTACAACTAGCGTGCACGTTACATTTAATATCGCGTCTGTTGGGTTTTTCCTGGAAAATTCATCAAGGCAAGGAAAACAAATTTAACGGTTGACCGGGAGAAACGAGTACACACGGAAACGCGAGTAGAGTAGGTTGATTTGCAAGTGCGTATTGACGCCTATAAATGAGTCAAGACGAAACATATTAATACGCATGGTATTACTCAGTACGATGTTTACAAGTGCCCTCGCATTTTGATATAATCAAGTAATTTAACAGGAGTGGCATCGGGTTACTGGAAGAATGCGTGAAAATAGATGAACAAGAGTTTCGAGTGAGTTTTGAAAAAAGTAATTTAATAGGTCTTGCATTAAGAAGACGAATAATCGTTTCCTCGGTATTATACCTAGCCCAACCTAACCTAAGCTAATACCAGTAGATTCCACGCGAATACCACAGCTTAGATTTCTTTACAGTGACACGAGACACGTCGTTCCTATTACGCGATACTCTCCAGCCCTGATCTGTACCAGCAGTTCAAGACTCCGGAGAAACTCGATCGTCCGCTCGACTCCGCAGGTCCGCAAATTAGAAACGGTGGACGGAACGGACAATCTCATTGGGTCGAGACAGGGTTGCTTGGTGAAGCAATTACATGGGACAAAAGATGTGGAACGCCGCCCGAAGAAGCGTACGCTCTCAAGTGTAATAGAATGTAGGCATAGACAGACAAGTAGGCAGGTACGCATGCCTTGCTCACTGTAAAATAAAATAACATGTGAGTATATGCCGCATTCAGGATACGTCGAGACGAAAAAAATTACTAAAAAAAAAAAAAAAGCGACACCCAGTATGCAGTCGTGGATAGTTAAACGGGTACAAAACTTAACAGATGGAATACAATGAGTATCCGGAGTTAAGTCCGTGTATCTGTTTAGCCGGTAACTGGCTTGTTGCGCAAAACGTTTCTAGTCAGCGGCAAGCCTCGCCTAGCGATGAGGTGCCTGTAATTAATTTCCACTGTCTTGTAAGCAGCAAAAGCCAGCCAGACATATTTGCAAGGGTAAAGCATAATAGGTTAGGGTATACCGCGATACCATAAACGGTGGCATCGGTGTGTCTTGGAATAGTTCACACACGTTGTAAAATACCGTATACGACGCAGGGCGTCGCCGTCTCTCTGTTTTCCTTCCACGACTCCTTTGGCTCCTTGAAAAATGTCCTTCTGGCGCGGACAGGAATTCACCAGACGCACCCTGGGACTCGCTTAAGTCTCTCGACCCCATCATCGAGCACGAACTATTTGCCAGGGCGTTAACACGTGCACTTATGTTACACGTTCTTTCGCGCGTGAAGGAAATGAAAAGACCTTGCTCGAACGTAAATGCTCCCTTTGGACGGATAAGTACAATTATCCAGAGCAGATAGGCATATACACGGGATAGGACAAAACTAGGTCTTACCAAGGAAGTAGTTATGTACAGTTTTTATGTACGAACATTGCCACGCCAAGTACTTGTCTAGTGTAACCCCTTTGTGTACAAGAAATGTGACTAACTTCAGGGAAGTTGTTTTAACTAATATTATATTTATCTGTGTATAGGAATCGAGCAACCCTACCCATAGACCATGCAACGCATCTAGGTATTATTATATCCTAAATATTATACATCACCAAGTATCCGTTACAGTCAGGCTGAAATTTTTTTTTCTTTTTTAGGATCGGTGATTATTTTAAATAACAAGAGGGACAATAACACCAGTGACTTTTAACGGTACGAATTTTTGAAGCAACGCCCTCACGCGTTGCGGAGTGACTGAAGAAGCGAATCCTGCGGTTCACCGCTGTTCCTTTACACTATGAGGATGACAGAATTGAGCAAGACCCGCAGACTTGGATTGAATTTTGTTCAATCGCCGCAAAGCGTCAAACTGACACTCGTGGAATCATAAGGAAGTAACAGAGTCGCTTGGTGGGTAATAGTGATCGCAAGGATTCGTATGCGATTCCGCCTTATCCTTCTGGCTGAGCGAGGTCTGCCTCAAGGACTTCTTGCCGCTGAACAGGACCTCAGACGATCGAAGCTTGCCTGCCTGCCTGGCTGTTTCTTGTCTTGTGACGCAATCGAATACCAATGGCTACACGCGGAGGATCACAGGGTCGCGCTTTATGGATGCTACCGACTAACGGTGTGTGTGCATTCTCTAATGCAAGATGCTAGCCGTTCAGTGATGTCAGACGTGGTGAATGGGAGGCTGATCGTTTTGCATTAAATCTGCGGATTCTCTGTTGGATGATGCTCGTCTGGAAAGGACGATTCCTGCAATTTTAATGTGATTAGTCGTTTTTGAAGGGACAGAGTACATCTTGTAGTACAATTACAGCAGACTTGAATTTGTCTATGAAATTTTTGGATTTTATAAAAAAATTCAACAGGTCTTTGATACGTGTGGTCATTCGGCCATAGCGGGCGATGTACGTCTATTGTTCTCGAAATAGGAAACAATGAGTTTGATAATTTTTTCTTTGTTTAGCATTGAAAGAACTTATTTTAAAGTGATTATTAAGTTTGACGATTATTGTTAGGCACTTTTTTTTACCGTGCATTCGTTCTTGGGATTAATAGACTTAGTCATTGGACATAATGATATTTAAAAATGTTTTCGTAAATTTTTTTATTTAAATGCTGACCGCTGTTTTTGTTTAAAAGATATATTTAGACTTTTGGGATCAATTAGAATTTATGAATTAGTTCTGTAACAGACATAGTGGCTCCTTCTACTTGCTAGTATGTTGTTAAATGTAGTTCACGCTTTGTACACCAAGTAATATTCAGCAGGAGGTGAATCTATTGTGTGGCCAGCCACAGAAGTGCTCCTCTATCTTGAGACATAGTTAAGTGTGTCGGTATACATTACTGGCAGCGCACAGGTTCGTTAATACACAATTAATGGTTACTTGAGAGTATCATTTAAATATAATCTCAAAGTCGATCTGAATTCATTCATTAAAAAGTTACAGTTTCACACAGCTAATTTACTTTTTTCTTATTCCTGTCTCCGTTTCGACAATCAGGAACCGTTGACTTCGAAACACGCGCGCCACTGGTGGTGTAAAACGATACTATGAAATACATATCAAGAACGGTACCAAGCTTATCATCTGGACTTTCGTGTCCTCCTTGCTGCTCTTGGCTCTGCCAAGCAGCATCGCCATCTAACGGAAAAATATATGACTTATAAATTTCTTTTTACAATAAAAATGATAATTTTGCAATACTAATTTCGCCATCGATTAGATAATCGTGCTACGAACGCATATATGAAATAAATTAAATTTTGCTTGTGCAAGTGAATTTGAAAATATCAATCGTGTTCGATACAGTACAATATTTTTTAAAGACAATAGGCAACTTGGAATATAGGACGACGTGATTCCGAATATCCGTAACGCTGGTCATGGAAGAAAATAAGAGTATTTCCTAAAATAAACGTCTTTATTTCGTACGTTAATACAAAATAAAAGTATCTTCGTATCGTAAACCCCAAATATGCATAAAGACACTGCATGATACATAATTGCGCAATTTTGCAACATTTAAACGCATTCTAAATTTAAATAAAAAATGCAACACAGATACGAAGTGTTTAAAACGAATTACTATAAATAATAGTATGTATGTCTTATAATAACTGTTAAAATCATAATGGGTGATTGTCGAATATCGACAGAGGATTCAAATATCTCAGAATGATTTCAAACGACACGCACGTATCAAGTAACGATCGTTGTACGAGAACCCCTAAGCGCAGTCTCTGCGAATAGGAATAATCAGTATCTATCCTCGAAATCCAACAGCCCTGGAGTAGTCAATAAATTAATAACTTCATAAGTAACATATATAACATACTGAGGTGTCGCGCGAAATACGGCGCGAAACAAGTAGCTTTTCCTAAATGCTCAAGTCTTACAGGGATTATTGTCATTGGCCAATGAAACGGCCTTTGTTCCCATGTAAACATAAATAAAAAAAACAAGCGTTCTAACATACAAATTTTGATTAGATCCCATTGTCAGATCCCAACTATTTCTGTACTTCAGTCCGAACGTTATTATTGCTCCTTACGGATTAGTACCGATGCGACAGTGGCGCCACAAATTTTCCCGTGATCCTTCATTATGACCACCGCACGTTTCCATTTGTTCGTAAGCACCGTAATGAGGTCAGTGTATCTCGATGAAAAGTACAAAAAAAAAAAGAGAAAAAAAATGAAAGAAAGAAACTTATATACGCATGAGTTAAGCTGGTGCAGTAGTAGATACTGGGGAATCACTTGAAGTTGTCGACGGTACACGATAGACACCAGAGAAGAGAATGGTCTTGGTGGGTCTGTCGTAGATGAAGTAGAGGAACGGATGATTAGCGTTGAATACAGCAGGTTCGGCAGGTCTGCTAGATCTGAATGTGAAGATGGCCGTCGCAGCTGCAGCAGTGGTGCCCTCCTCAGTGACCTCGACACGAGCTCTGTGAACGGCATCCCCCAGATGAAGATTCTCTTCGCCGTCCTGAAGGAAGCCACGAAGATTGGAGACACCCGGCATCAGTATTTCACCAGCTCCCAACGCATGAAGAAGCTGTCCCACAGGCAGATCTCGTTCCACTGTGAAACGGGGTAAGGATACCTCGACCTCTCTGGGTGGCATACCATCGTCGAGCAATTCCCAAAACTCGTCGGATCCTTTCTTAGTGGTAGTGATCCTCTCGATCAATTGCCGTACTCCGTCCCGTGCCTGATCAGCGGCCTGAGAATTAGGAGTCTGATTGTCGGAAAGTGACCTGGCGGTTGCGAACGGCGGCAAGAAGATGTACATGGAGACATCATCGCCCTTGTATGGAAGCTGAAGTACATGAGCTCCAAGAACCTCGGATACAACTGTGGATCAAAGAATATTTTTATGAGTAAAAATAATCAAAATTTTTTAATTCAATATTTAATTAATCATTATTATTTACCATGATTGAAGCTTCCCTTTTGACGCATAAATGTCACGAACGTGCTTCTAGAGCCACTAGCATAAAATATATCCTTCTTTGAATTAGCAGGGTCAAATCTGCTGTGCCAAAGACCTTTGAAATATACGGCGTTGGCCAGAACAAGGTCAGAGTCTTCGGTGATACCACCGGCCGGGATGAGGTCACGGATGTGTCCTTTTGTTGTGTTGCTCACCCAGTCGTTCACGCGGCTACGTACCGCTTCCGGGTTCGCACGGAAATCAGCTTGTTCCAGTTCGTTGCTGAAGAGGTCTAGCATGCAAGTTCGGACCTTTCGCGCGTTTGTTATCCATATACGATTGGCAATATTGTACTCGTAGCTGCTCGACGAGTTTGCCTATAAATAGAACGAACATAATTTAGAGATCGACCTCTATCTCGAAGTCCCCTCGATAATCTGACAGATAAAATCAAACATGACTGCGAGAAAGCGTCCAAGCGAAATCGACACAATTCGACTTTCGCTCCAGTATCCATATACTTATTGCCCTATATGTATAGTACTACATTAGTTTGACCTTGAATTCACTGATATTATTTAATCATAGTCATGTCATTTAATTAGTTGAACAGGGTCAACCGATCTGATTATACGATACGTACATGACCGTACGACGGCTAAATAATGGATTGCTGATAGCAACAGTAGAATTGTGCAATATTGTTTATCGATACTTATCCCTGGAATGTTGCTTTATATCTGGCAAGCATTTAAATACCTCTCTAAGGATCTTCATGGAATTTTCATAGATGTAGTATCTCTGAAGATCAACTTTCGAGACAGTGTCCGGTATGTGCAGTGCTGCTTTCAGCGAGCTCTCAGTCGTGCCACGTGACCCAAAGTAAGCCAGTGACAGCGCCTGGTGCAAACTGTGTGGACTGTAGAAGATATTATCTTGGCTCTCAATTTGAGCGGTCTTCGATAACGTATCCATAGCGAATTTGAATCGGGCAGTCGTTATGTCCTTGTGGGCATTTTGATTCATCGTTTCCGGTTGATCATTGCCGGTTAAGCACTGAGCCGAAGACATCGCTGCAATGCTGCCTAGCAGCAACAGGCCTATCCTCAGCATCCCCTGAAAAATCATATAGACAAATTTGAATTTGTGTGAATTTTTGATAATGTCAAAATAGTACTTTGCGATACAAGTGCGAGAAAGCGAACTTTATAGGCAGCCGGTGAAGTTGGTCGCACGAGCCCACACACGAGTAACACAACGGCACGAGCCGAAGGCGAGCGCTGGTTGTTTTACGAGTGCGGCGAGTGTGGCAAACTTCACGACCTGCGTATAATGTTCGCTTTATTGTACCAGTATCGCATAATATTTTCTGTAAGGAATGCATGAAAAACGCTACTTTTTGTACCTCCAAAGTGACTGGAACATCTCTTCGTTGGAGGAGGCAGCCATAAGAAGAGCAAGGAAGGCTTCAAAGTGAATGCATTTCATGACAGCGCGCGAGAACAAAGTAAAGTGACTGGAACATCTCTTCGTTGGAGGAGGCAGCCATAAGAAGAGCAAGGAAGGCTTCCAAAGTGACTGCATTTCGTGACAGCGCGCGAGAACAAAGTTTACTTTATCGCACTAGTGCGAGAAGAAAGCACTAGGGGGATAATGTAAAATTGGACAGATTTGCGCATGCGCAGCATTTTTATCGTATCCATAGACACAAAGCGCCACTTTCGGCATACTTCGAAAGCACGAAAAGTAGTGTTTTTCATGCATGAGTTACATAAAAAAAAATTTATTTTAATTTCGATGGATAGTTTGGAAAAGAAAAAAGAAAGCGAAGTGCTCCTTCGTTTGTTACGCAAATACGCAGCACGCATCTTGACAATTCCCACGCATGCTGCGTACTTTCCAAGTAGTTGCGAAATTACGAACTATAAGCATTTTTACTGTATCCTCGTTTTTCGAGACAGGCTGATTTGGCGGGTGGCATTTTAATTGGCAATCGCCCGAGTACGAATTGTAAGAAAGTGGATAGTGACGCATTGCTTGGAATATATGTTTCAAAGAAAAAACATTCATGTATGGTAGAACGATTGGGTAAAAAAATTCAAGACCGTCCAAGGCGTCCTGACCCAATTTTAGGGGAAAAAAAAAATATTCAGGGCCTTACGGATTTCAATGCATGGAACGGGAAATGACTTTCTCTCCGTTTGAGAAAGTTTCCATTTGTACCAGAGAAAAGTGTCGTGGCTGTCGATACTTTTGCCGGACTTTCAACGAAGTTTCGCAACTTGCATTCAAAGTCGTATTTGGCGATTGTGTCCTTAAAAAATAATGTATTCCTATCTGCAAACGTGTTTCTATGATTGGCCTCTGCAAGGCCACGTACTAAATTCACGATCGGATTGCATTAAGAATTTCTGGCGCCAACCGATAACCGTTTCGAACGTATATGTAGCATCCTTGTTATTTATTCTTTTAATCTTCCTCTTTATCACGTCGATTTACAGTGACGCGCTCCGAAGTCAAGGCCTTCGATATATTATTCACACCCATCGAGTTTATCAATTACACCCGAAACGATTTGTCATTCCTTCACGTTGAAAAGAGCCGTCTCGATACTCCCAGCGTGGATCCACCATACTGGTAGACTTTAGAAAAGTGAAAGCAGTGAGTCTCCAATGACGTCACTGGGTCCGGCTTTTCTGTCTTAAATTAACGTATGACGGGTACCTTCGATTCGTTAACTCGAATTCAATTCGAACGAAGGCGGAATTTCGAGTCATGCCATGCTAATTTTTCGTGGGCTTCGATATGAAATTTCAAGCGTCTTCGTTATTCGCTATGGAAATTACCTATGAATAAATAAAAAAATAATTCCATTCGATCTGACGTAAAAATCAAACGGTGTCAACAATCGGCTCGGAACGAGATGACATTAAAAATTAGAATTCCTCAATTTTTCATATTATTTCATCTTGTTTATTTATACGGTATCAATATGAATTTTATCACCTAGTTCGCCCATCTCGTCGAAGGTGTTAACAACGTGTTTTGTTCTCGCTATGAAGATCGACAATAAAGATGGAGACTGTGTGGTTTCTATGGCGTTAGAGATAAGATCCAGCATTACGAATTCATTTGTGTTACAATCGCATCCCGTAATAACGACAGTGCCGAGGGCAGCTGCGTTAAACACAGAGACCTTCATGCTCCGTGGAAAATTGATAATGAGGCACGATGCCGGAAGTGGATGTTTCTAATGGGATTTTTATGCGAATTTCAGCATGGGTATACCGACCGGAACTTATTCGAAGTAAATCGAAACAATTGATTGCTTTTTCCATTGTACGTATACAGGCTTTAGAAAATAGTCCAACATTTTTTTTACTTTATACTTTTTTTTTTTTTATCATTCAAGCTATTAATAGACGATTTTGACCTGGACACCTATATAAGATATTTAAATATTTTTTTTTAGATAACTTATCAAAAATTTTTTTTCCATAACGTCAAATTTCTCACAATACGTTACCTTCGTAAAAATTGTTTTGGAAATACGTATCAATTTTTAACCTTTTGCTCGATTTTTTAAACAAATTAAGTTTTTATCGTCTTACGACTCGAAAATATGTTAATCAGTCCTTTACACGGCTTATGCACTGTCAATTAAACAATACTCGATATATATATACACTCTTAGGTATAACTATCGTACACCTAAGGAGTATCATCGATAACTGTTCTTACTATGACTCAAGTGAAGTTTCATCGAGCAAGATATTTTTCCTCCCGTTCACCATTATCGTATAGAACAAATAGACACCAGGTATAAAAGCAGATAGAAAAGATCAAATTACACAAGCGCGCTATTGTTCTTTGTCCGTTAACAGATATAATTGACCTAACTGGAGACAATATTTAAGTATCAGATATTTTCATACATTTTTTACATTTCGCAATTGGCATTCGTGCAAAAAGAAAGGCTGATCTTTATTGATGCGTTAACCTGTATATCTATATACGTATGTGCAAATGCAAAGGCGTGGCACTTACCAAAGTGTCAAACATCGTAACGCGATCAAGGCACTGTCAAGTATGACGATTATAACTGCGTAGAGTTTCGATTGAAATTTTTTGTCCCGATGACGTAACAAAGTTTACGATACGTTTTTTCCTCAGATCCAATTCACACGTGCTGCTGAGGCTCGTCGCTAAAACAAAACTGAATGCACGTTGGAATCACGAAGACCGCAACAGTCCTGTCTACGTTCCCCACTACTTTACGAACACTGCGCTTCGTAATACTTGACTATATATGCCATTCAATGTGAAACGCGCTGTATATCTCCCCACTGTTTTTTAACAGTTCCTTATCCCCACTTACCGTATCGCTTCTTGGTACTCTCTTCCATTCTGTCTCATACGCAACGTGACTACGTTATATGGTACAAGTAAGGAAGATCTATGAGAAATGCTATTTCGTCGGATACGAAACGGAAAGCGCGGTGAATACCTGTGATATCGGCTTTAGCAGTAATTTCATTATGGGAATTGATAATGAAAACTCGTATCAGAGATTCTTGGAACGAATTCAGAAAAGATTTGGAACTTTATGGATAATTCGAAAAAGTCAGATACAGGTGGTGTTTTAGGACACGAAATTTGGGTTTTGACTTTTTTTTGGGGAAATTAAAAAATTTTATTTACGGTTTTTTTTTATAGGGGAACAGTGATTTGATAAATTGTGGTGATGATTTTATACAGTTATCTTACGTTGGCACTCTTAAATTATGGTCTGATCACAAGACTTCTCACTTCTTAATATGTGAGATCCGGCGCGAGCTGGGTCAAGATCACTAACGGTCTAAGTAAATCCGAAAGGAGCCTCGTGTCCTTAAGTGAACCTGAATCGAGAGTCGTTCAATGCCAGATTATATGTATTATAAGACTGTGAGATTATAAGCCATTTTGTCTTTACAGTATGTATACACTTTGAGAAATTATACGATTTAAAAAGGACACGCGTTTGGAGGTTATTCTCGAAATTCGATATTTTATCGTCGGTTCGATGCCGCTTTTACGTCCTTCGGATTAAAATATGGGGACTTTCCCGCGATTCATCTGATAAACTCAAACTTTTATTATTTCCTCAAAATTTATTTTACGTCTGGAATTTGTCAAATTCTCACGTACGGATTGTGTTTTTCCCAAAATCCCAAGATATACCTGAGAATAAATGAACTCTGTTGTTCTAGAACATGGGTTTTCCCCTGGTAAACTTTACGACCAGTCTCATTTTATTTTTATTTTATTTCCATCGCCTCGACCGACACTTTGATAACGCGGTTAGACACTCAAAGTGGAACGCGACAATTTCCAGATTAAAATGCCAACAGTAACTTTATGTTGAGTACTGCTTCGGTTTTTTACTCAATTTCTGAATTCAACTAGCCATTGAACTCATTCTGAGCGTAACGACGACTACAGTCGTGCTTTTCACGACAAAGCAAATTTTACATACGCAAACACCAAAACTGTTCTCTTAAAATTGATACCGTTGGACAAGTTCAAAGTTGCGATCGGATCATAATTTACATTAAAATCGGACAATAGAAAAAAACTATTAAACCGATTTGAACAAACGAACCGTGCATAAATTTTATTGTTCCGGCGCCGAGTTGTTGACACGTGAAATTATCGGAGCGTATGAAATAAATACGGGAATTTCCTATATACCCAGGATATCCTATATACGTACACATACATATATAAATTATCGATTCAATCTATACCCACGAATAAATAATGAAATGTTAATAAACCTAATTGTTCAGTCAACAGGAAAAACGAAGTGTCATTGAATCACCGTACTATACCCAAAATTCACACTCTTAAATCCAATGACGATAATACACGTAACATATCTGTGTGCATGTAGGAATAATCTAATATAAATTATCGTCCGTATAAATTATCCGAGACAATAAAATTGCATCACCTATAAAAACATCGAATGAAATATAGCAACGCGATATCGTATAAGAATCGATCGAGGCGACGTGCAATCATATACCAAGTTTCAAATTAAATGGCGGTGCAATAAATAATAGAGAACTGCACTGGGCGCCCTCTAAGTAAAATAAACCAGAACTCGGTATATGCAATAACCAACAATCTTCTAGATCTCCGACAAACGCTCGAGAATAAAATTACAGTGCAGAGTAGCAATGAACATATCCCCATATCCTATAACAGTAGCACCGATATAAACACGACATAAATAATGTACATTCCTAAACCGTTAACAAGCCCGAGTTCAAGGCATGCATGCTGTGCATTCCTTATCGATCTCCACTTAAAATGCAATTCTAGTGCAACGGCAACTCATAACGAACGTTTCATACCAAATAAGGATCAGCTTCATATAACAATAATAAATAACAATCTCATAACCGGTCGGCAACATTAAAACGACGGCAAGTTACACTGGCATTACAAACTGTATCGTGGAACAGTGCATTTATTATCAATCTAAGTGTATAAGAAATAAGCGAATTGAATTGCATCCAGTCGATCTATCATTCCCAACAGAACAATGGACTTACCGTATAAGTCATTTCGTAAATGCTTATTAATTATTTTCGTTATCGTTATTATTTTCTCTCCTCAAATTCTTCGAGATGTTACGGCTCTCCTTCCTTCACCTCTCTTTTTCCCTTCGACTGTCTTTTTATGCACTTTCAATAATAGTTCTCTCTTTATACTTTAAGCTGTTGGTATTTTAGGTTATTTAGTCTCGCGTACGTCAAGACGAGCACGATCACGGCCGCTTTCTGCTTTGTATTGGCAACTGTACGGGAATGCGCTGTTGCAGGCTGCTTTATATGCTGGATAGTCTTCGTATAGACTGTAGAGACTATAGAGCCTCTCTGTGCCCTTCTCGTCGCCGTTACTCGCATGTGTTCAGCTCAGTACTATCGGTATGTATATATATATAGATAGACGTATAGTATGTATTGCTGTCCAGGGAAAATCCCAAGTTGAATTGTTCATTATCTTAATACGCCTATCTTTCTGCTCTCTGGAGGTTGCATCTGACAAGTCATATAAAAGTACATCGCCTTGTTATTTTTAATTGTTAAAAAAATATATATTTGATCGTTCACTTTTACTGGTTTTTTAGTTTTCGCTCATCCGGCATCTTTTTACTCGTTCGGTGTACAACGTGTACTTATGTATTACGGGTCAGGTCATTGGTACCTTTGCTTACTGTAAATTGCATACGGGCAGGAATACCTAATACGTATTTTGGGTACATGAATATTTGACGAGAAATGACAAAATTAAGGGCTAAATAACGAGGCTGATTATGACGTAATGCATCCTAGAGGATTTTGCTTGTTGATCGATAGAAATCATATTTATTCAAGGACGATTCTTAGCGATGATTATTTTTGACTTAATTATGACAGCATATCAAAGGTACATTGCATTAATGGGTGAATTGTGTACAGATGTAGATTGAGACATGTTTTTCATGGAAACACGACGAGTATAGAGTTTCTGGTGAAATTTGCAAGGTTTTTAGGGTGTGTCCACAACTTGAAATGTTTCCGGCCTGACAAGCTTCTTATTTTGTTAATGTTTATTGTTATCTTTTTTCTTGTCCTTTCGATCATCCCGATGAATATGCATAATAATACCAACATGGAACTCATAAATATATTATAAATATACTTGTTCTCGTCACGACACATTTTCAAGTCAATATGATTATCAATCGAAATATCATATTATGTATATTTGTTGTGCATGTACAAATTTTTTAATGAAGTTGAAAAAAGTACGTTGACTTGATTTATTCTCCGATTAGACAGTCGTTGACCTCTGCCTTGAGCCCGCATTTAATCGCAATAGACCAAATAGCAAGTACCTATAGGAAATGGTGCTGTGGAGAAAGTGTAACGTTTAAAAGTTTTATGCCAAAATTAGTACCTACCGACGGGCGGTATTGACCGGCCATAACAAATCCGTACGAAGATTGCTGATACTTCTGTTGATGAAATTGTATTCTTTATGTTTCGTATAAATTTTATTGTGTTTATTCGTCAGAGTTCTTGTAGCTCAATAACATTAATATTGCTAGTTGCAGAAATAGTACAAGGCCCACGCACGTCATTAGGGTAGATTAGAATTTTTCTAGAAGTGAATATATATACGTGTATGTAATTCTTGCTTTTTATTATTATTAATATTTTCATCTAAGCGATTCGTGCCAATAACAATAAATCATCCGTTTATAGCTAGAGCTTGTTTAGGTTTTTTAAATATACTTGGAGTTTCCATCTCCCGTATCACGGTTATGTATATAGTTATGCGGGCAATAAGGGCTGAAAGTAGGAATTCCCGAATGGAATGGATTTATGTATCTTGGGATTTTCAAGAGAAGCTTTATCACTCTCTGTGTGAGGAGTGCAAAAGTGAATTACCGTATGAACTTGTTTGCGTGAGGCGTACGTGCTCGGCGTCGAGTGAAAGTGGGAAATATTCTAGTGAGATTTCGCGTGGAAAATTAGCAAATGGTGACGTATTAGAGGACTGAAGAGTGCGGGAGGGAGGAGGGAAAGATGGAGAGAAAAGATTGAATGAATAAATTGTTCAGGAATAATAGAATGTCAAGTGGTCATTGTTGGGGATTAAAACTCAATTGAGAACAATAGATGTAATTCGGCGTAAAACCGCCGCATGAATTATTCTTGCAATTATGTATGTGCTGTTGAATCGTTTTTCGATATTTCCGTGTTCCGTTGTTTCCTAGTTGAAAGACGTATCCTGTTCTTATCTTAGTGTCGTGTGATGATATTTCTTTGTTATGTAATTTATAATTATTCTGAATAATAGCTATACTAGGAAGTGCTTAGTTATAGCATGGATTTGCAATTAAAATAAACGAAGGAGATTAAAATATGATTGATATTAAAGAATCGATTCGCCCATTTGAGTTAGTGTAAACATTATTAAAGAATAAAACGGAAAACAATAATAACAATTTATTAGGAACAAATATTTTTGTATAAAAAATAAGTTGTTGCATACATAATACGTGTGCATGCATCAAATTGTAGTAAATTCTTATTTTAATACTGTACAATTCGAAGATGGAAAAAATTATCTATCTATAGTACTACAAGAGTAATTCTTAATATTCACAATATACCCTGTTAATGACGATTTCTTATTCTTACATTGTGCATAGTATTGCGTACAAGAAATCTGAACGTTAGTGGGTATAAAATAACATTTTCCTAATAAGTACCTGCATCGAATGAAGTTAATAACTATGAGTTATCGATGAACTTATAATTTCAATATTCAGATACCTATATGTTGTATACATATACATATAATGAAGAAAGCTATGAATTACTATGTGTTAGATAACTCTGATATTATGGAATTGAAATCACTTGGATGCAGAGTATGATTTAATTGTAGTAATTATCAATGAAATATTTTTCTAATCTCTTGTTAAGTACGTACTTCGATCTTCATAGTTCGGTTTATTAATTATAACCAAAATAATAACTTCGAGCTAAATTCATATAAAGGACTGTACGTATTCGTATATACATCTGTAATATACGTAGATCTGGAAACTCAGTTAATAAGGTAATTGTATAACTAGAGAATTAGAATAGGAAGACGACTCAGCATACTACTGCGCTTTGCGCTGTCTTCGTGTTGATTTCGCTTTTAGCATTGGACAAAAGATTTTCATTTCTCACCCACAACTGTAAATCTTGACCACTCTGACATTTTTTTACAATGGTGTAGATGGACATTATCATGAATACAATGCCCAGTACAATAAAATATCCGCTATATACAAAGTACTGGAATGCAGAAGAATACTTGTGAAATTAATTATTCATAAAATTAATTTTTATTATAACTTACCTGAGATCTAATATTCAATTCGAATATACTTCCACTAATCACTATGTATGTAAGTAGACTTTGAAGTAACAATGCGATCAAAGTATTTATGCCAAATATCAGACCATAGCTATCCTCCAACAAATGCTTGACAACTTGGAAACTGAAATAAGGAAAAGTCACAGAGTTGACATAGTTTTCTAGAATCATTTATCAGAATACTATAATAACCCGAACGTATATATAATCGAATTTGTTAAAGTACTGCTACTGTATATAACCAGTGGTTTGTGTAAATACCTGGCAACAGTGACAATAGTGTGATAGATAACACCAAACAAAATATATACAGTGTATGAAAGCCAGATATTGTAAGTACAAGCAATTAATAGTAATAGTATGCCTTCTATAAACGAAAATATTGATAACATTGCTTCTCCAACAAGTGGCCAATTTAGCTGCAATTTTCCAACACCAAATACTGTAGCAGCACCTGTAACAATATAATATTAATTATAAATGAATTGCAAATTAACAAAGTTAAAATTATATTTACATGACTATTAATGTCAGAATTACATTTTTAACAGAAAACAAAGAATATTTTAGAGCATATGGTATCACTTGTTGAGTATACATTGACTGTGATTACCCAATATATATTTGTATGCATAATTACAGATGATGTTCTAGTTATAGATTGCATTTATGATTAAGTGGTAAATCGTCATGTCAAATGAAGATAATTTATCTTAGGAATTATCAAATTATCAGAATAATACAAAAGTAATTGTTACCTATAATAGTATATAGTGCTTCCACAGCACCATTATAAATATTGTCTCCATCAGCAACTGTATCTTGCCATATCAATTGTGTGTAACTGATGACTTGTAAGTAGCCGCAGGTTGCAAAAGCCCACCAGAGAGACCATTTAATCACAGTCAGATTTGTATATGCTTCTATCATATGTTTCCATAATAGGATATATGCATGTTTTATTTTTAATCCTAGAGACGGACTACGACATAATACGTCAATTGGTATGTTTTGTGAAGAAATAAATGACTGAGTATTATCCTGCATCGATTGGGCATCACTAAACGTTAGACAGGATGGTGCTTGCACATCGTTTAACTTAGCTTGATGAAAGTATATTGATTGACCAACGGAAGGCAAGAAAAATGCCCATAAAGTTGCAAAAGTAAGTGCTATAAAAGATATATTAGTTTATATACACAGAGAGACAGAGAAATAGCATTTAACATCAATTTGATAACAGTTATAAGTACCTCCTAAAGTAATATAATTCAGCTGGTGATAATCTAAAAGATTAAAAGACGTAGTCAATTGCCCAGTAGTACCAGCTAAAAACCGACCAAGCAGGAATGCTGATCTTGTATGTCCAGTAACTTCTTGATAATGTTCCTTATCAACTTTTGCATATATATAAGTATAATAAGCAACTTCAGTGGATAAAAATATTCCATAAAAAAACTCCAAAAATTGCATCTCAAGAATGGTTTGAACTAATATTATCATAAGATAAGTAACAGAACCAGACAGACCACATAAAATAATAACAGGTTTATAACGCGCAAAATCAGTAATTAGGAAGATGATAACTAAAGTCGCGAGATAAGAATAGGTTCCCACTGGATATATGTCTTGATTCACCTGTAAAAATAAGAACAATTAGAATTCAAGTAAAAATCATTTAAAATTTAAATCAGCTCCCGCCATAACATGGGTTTAATGCATTGAAAGAGTAAAAACATAGAACATACAGTGCACTAAAAAAAAATACTGGAATGTAGCAACAATGCAATTATGCTATTGATTTTAGGACCAATTTTTGAATTTTCCATAATTAATAGGCTGCGGAAAATACACAACTGCATTGTTTATAAAAAAATCCACTGAAACATTTAAGCAGCAAATACCTTCTGGTCTAGATAACAAACTTCAAATGAAATGATTACAAGATTGATGCAATGCCATCATAATGCATAAATTCAAACCAACTTGTGCCGCAGTGAAATTCTTGCAGGGTCCCGTTAAATAGTCTGTCACAAAAGGTTCCGAAGGCCGAAATTCCTTGAGGAAACCGAAAATGCACAAAATCAATGAGATCTTCATCCACTTCATGTTGGTTTAAAGATTCACATTCATGTCAACCGGGAACAAGTAATCTCACTTTAAAAATACACAGTCTACCGGAAATAATTTATACTAATTTTAATTCTCCCACTTTTCTCAATATGAATTTAGTATTATAGTATTAACGCAAAGGGTAACACTTTAATACCGTAGAGAGGACAATTCCACGTGCCGTCACGCTACTAGCAGACGATTTTATTGCTGAACAGTCTTATATAAAGGTTATATGAATGCAGCGCCATTACTGAGATATAACATAAGTTATACGTATGAATGTGCGCGATACGTTTGAATATGAATAACCGGTGAGTGCAACTGATTGCAAATTATTGCACTGAATATGTGAAACTTGGAAAGTTTTACATAGAAAATAGGGACAATGTATTATGGAATGAAGATTACAATAGAAATAACACAGTACCTGGAAAACGATAAAGACAAAGACGTTTTTGAGTATTTGAAATTGAATTCCTAATAGCGAAAGTCAATTAATGTCATGAAAAGATGAATAACGATCTTTCCAATATACAGGGTTTTATTAAATTATTACCATTATATTATGAGAATACACAATTTTTACATGTACAATATAATATATTATATATTTCATCGTTAACTATCTATTCATTTTATACACGTAAATATGCTCCATTTTCTCGTTTTTTTTTCTTTCTTTTCTTATTGACACTTACTTAATCTCGTACAAATAAAGACTCGACGTTAACAAATGATTATGAACAGTACGACTTTTATATTCACTTAATTAACACTCGAGATTAATAAATTAAATATTTAAATGCAATTTACACGTAACGATAGTTATACATAGATAGTTTCGCGTGACTTTAACGCGTTCCTCCTCCTTTGCATTTCCCTGCATTTTATTGATACATATTTCGAATCCTCGTCGAACTAGTTATTTCGCAAATTCTTTTATTATTGACATTTCCATTAATGGCGATATTTATTCGCGACACTATACTACTATTTGTGTATTATAATTACACATATGCACATTCAATATTATACGAGCGCACGCGCGCTTATGTGCAGGGTGTTTAATACTTATGGGCCACCATTGTTGCATGATCACTTTCGCGTGAACAAAGCGACTGAGCTTATCAGTTTAATTAATCCTCGTGCCATAATTATCAAAGGGCTGATTTTATTTTCACTCGTCGTCTAAATGCGACTGGCAAAGTAAACAATGCATGAAAGTGATCGACCCCTTCGTCATATATACAGTGTGTATATGAAATTCTGTTATCAGTAATAAAATAACGTTGTGTGCTCATGATTTCAGAGAAGAAATAGAAAAATCTCTTTTGCCCCTATTTTCACAGCGAGTTCTTGTGTAGGATATACATATAAACGCGCGCGCGCGTACATGCTCACTTAACAGATACATACTCACAGGCACACATACACTCAATTATATTTATACGCAGGATTCTTTGAATATTAATTCGACATGTACAAGTAATGTTTTTGTTTCATAATTTTTTTTTTCTTTCCACTCTCTATACTTTCTGAATACCGTTCGTCGTTGCGATTAAAGACGTAAACTGTGAAAAAGACAGACGAGGAATGAAGTATAAAGTAAAGTGAAAATGAGAAAGAAAGAGAGAGAGTAGAAATGGAACGGCAAGTAGGCTAATGTTTCCAAAATCTATCCGGTTACACCTCAATTTAAAGCGAAATACTTTACTTTGGCATTGCGATATTAGGCTATGGTCTTTCTTTTAAATTTCATTAATTACTGTGATTCCACTTGGTATCGGAGCCAACATAAAATACTGTGTATTCTGTGTTATATCGTATAACATGGTATAAGATGTATGATATCGCATTATCGCGCATACGAGAAATTCCTCAAGCTCGAGCTTAAGAAAGAATCTCATTTACATGAAAAATTAATTGAAAATATCTCATGATATTGTAATTGTATATCATATATATCCAATGGCATTTTAGTGAGACTTGTACGATTGGAATGGTTGCATTTTTCTAGAACACCGAGTATATTACATGAGAATCCTTTTTAATCAAAGGTTCCGACGAAGTCGTTTATCCGTCTTACATATACGCCATTTAGTCATATCATATTGTATTGTTATTAATTATTGACCAGAGGATTTACAATCAATTGTCATTCACGAATAGTAAGTTTCGTGAATAGTAAATGACTACTACAGAGATGATGCGTTATCGGCGAGTATTATTACATCTATTGTATGTATTGGCTTAACATTTTTGTTTTAATTATAAGAAAGTACATAGTAGACTTGTCTCTCTACGTAAAATTAATGTATCCAACCATTCGTCGGACAAGGTCAAAATATCGGATAAAAAATTACGATACTTCGTAATAATAACGTACACTGTGATTTTGAACTATGCTTTTTGGATATCGAGTTACTTTTGTTTTCTTGGACACAATGAATGATCAACATCATATGACACAGATGCGTAATTATCAGAGTACTGATATGGTGTACGAGCCATTAAATAGAACGTACGTATATAATGACAATGAATACGAGTACATATACGTAAAAGTCATAAGTAATTTTAAATACAATTTGCAAAGCTTGACGATTACAAGAAAAATTCGCTCATCGTACGGACAGAGTAAAAAGACAATTATCTGTAGCGGAGTTATTAAAATTTAAAAAAATATAAAAATACACGGCGTACTTTATTTCTTCCTGATTTTTTATCATTTTCCTTTTTCTTCTTTTTTTCTTCTTCCTTCTCTCAAGAATCCTCGTTCAGTCTGCGCGTACGCTTAATTAACTGCATATACATATCATTACATATGATACTGTTGAAATGCAACGTTTATCAAATTTCGAATCACCGAGTCGTTAAACGAAATAAATAAATATACATTACGGTCGAGGACAACGGTTCGATTAGAGAAGAATAACAATTAAAAACGAAAATAGGAAATGAACGAAATAAAGGAAACGTATGACATTATGAATTGAGTCATGAAGTCAGAAACAAAGTTCTATGCTAAAACGAGTCTCGCCAGCTGGTAAACAATTTGAATATGTAATATGTGTTTCATAGGATTTAAAGATCAATGACACCATTAAAAATAAAAATTAATCGCAATACAAATCCTCTTGGTCCATCGTCGAATTTAACGTCAAGTTCAATATTTTTGCTTGAATACGCATACATATTTCGGTATTACGGAACTCTAATGACTTTGGTATTTATGGCATTGCGGTATAACAAGGTAGATTTTACGAATCTCTTAAAAATATGTACCCTCTTATATTCCAAGTTACCACGCAGCATTGTGTAAGAGTCATTTGTTCTCATCGGTTTCGCAGTATCGATAAGCTTCAAAAATTAAATTCGTTGAAACGTCATACCAAATACGATGAGATTCATTATTTTTAATATCAATGACTATAATGAAGCGGTAAAAAGTCTGAAAAATGATAATCTCACGACGGATACGAAATCTTTGAGGAAAACCAACCGGACGTTCACAATAATATATCAACGGAGTTCAGGTAGCATTGTTTATCCCTTGCACTATTTTGACGAGTCTGACTCGTGATGAAAATTTTAGGCCAAACATGGATGTCACGAGTCGGGCTCGTTGTTCAGTTCCAGATCAAACATGAATACCACGAGCTTGACTCGTACTCGACATTTCAGGTCGAACATGAATATCACGAGTCTGACTCGTGGTCTTAGTTTTGGACCAAATTATATTATAATAATTAATCAGAATTTGTTTTCATCTTATGTACTAATTAAAGTATTTTTTAAAAGTCTGATTCAAATTCATTTGAATTTGACAAGAGTTCCATCGCGTGAAGTAAATACGGGCACGACTACCTTGCGCTCGGTCGTAAGAATAGGTCTCAATTTCGGCACGCCCGCTCCACCGCTCGCCTTCCACCACGACAATCGAGGCAGCCACGTTTGGCCTGACTTTTCCCGAGGTTCCCAATAGTGCAAGGGGTCAAATACTTTCGTAGCTCATTCGCATATTGTATCGAAGATATCATCAGTCTTCCTTCCCTCTTTACCTCATCGATACCATTCGTATAAATATATAACACTCGATATACTTATTTATCAAGATATTTCACTTCCAATCGATCCACGCCCACCCTCCAGAGCAGTTGTACTCAGTCTGATATTCATCAATCGCAGAGATGAATTTCAATCAGCTTATCGCCATTAACAGTCGAATTTGCTCAAGGCTACGATATCATCCATACATTTCCAATCGGTTTATTAGTGAATAACAAGACTGTAGATACGTTCAGGATAAGCAGACGACAAACAGGCTGGCAATTTCAATGCTCCATAAAGCTTATACAGGCTTTACGTTATCGTGCGGCTCTCTATTTCCAGAAGACGTAATTCCCATGATATTTCGTCAAACGATGAACGTGCCACGCTAAGCAACGAAGAAGTTTTCACGGTCCGAGGAGAGGCATTTGCCCTTGTTAATTCGCAAAATTATAATAACGCTAAGTAACCTAGATTTTTGTACGAGGCCAACAAGAACTTTTGCTTCTCCGTTTATTAGATGTTTTGTTCCAATTAGTGCGACTCCTTGTAGAATTCTTAACGATGCTCCAGTTTACGGTGATGCAAGGTCCAACGCTGAGACGTTCCTTAAAAGCAGGCATTGATTGAAGTATGCTTGACAGACGTTACGGCGATATCGTCGTCGGCCAGTGTACGGATGAAAGTGACGTAGAAGAAGACGAAGAACTGAAATGGATCAGGGACTGACGGTAAAATAAAAGGAAAGGACATAGAGAAAGAGAGAGAAAATGAATGAGTGAGTGAAAGAGAGCGTGTTAATCGCTAATGTAGCATCTTGGAGCTTTGGACGTTTTTTTGTACACCTCGTTGTCTTTGTAGGAACACGGTCAGGCATCCGTCTCTCCCTTGAGCCTGAGCCGTGCGAAATCTTCGAAGATTATGTCGTCGTCACCGGTGTCTGCCTCCCTGTGAAATGTAAAACCGTAAATACAATCAGGATGCGCCAGTAGGCAACCCGAAGGGCTCCTTAATTCTCTCCTCCCGGTAGGATCGATAAGTCTGTGTTTGCATGCGCGTAAAAATGATCCCCATGTGCTTCGACTCTCGAAAGCACGTCTCGCACCAAGTGGGATCGGTATAAAGATGGACGGAGAATTAATTAGCCAAAAATTGGAGTACCTCTATGAATAGAGATTTTTCATGAGAAAAAACTACGCAGAGAGGAGACTAACTAGTACTATATATAGGGATATATCAAATGTGGTCCAGCTTACGTATCCCATTGGATGAGATTTGTGTCGAGTGGTATTTCACCATCATTGGCCTGATGCGTCGGACTTGGTCGTGCCGTCGATGGCATCGGCGGTTCCTCTTCCGGTTTTGGATGCATCAGTATAAACGGCAATTCCGCAACGAGCTCCCTGCCAAGAAATCAAAACATCAGATTTACCGTACTGCATTGCCTAGTTACGACTAGAACCAAGTTCTATTTTTTTTTTTTAAATTGAATCAACCACTTGGCTCTGATAAAAATTACTATCAATTCATCGTCTACTTACCCGCCAAGGGCTCCCAGGCAAAGTTTCACTTTAACCTTGTACTGCACGATGATCCCAAGATTCTCACGTTGCGACGGGTCCGCCACACTACGGAATACAAATAGCTGTCAGTATATTGCAGTGTAAAATTTTAAAGGAAAAAAACAAAAAAAAAAGCAGAAAGATACCCACTCGCCGTACGTTAAAGGGAAAGCTCGAGCATGCAGGCGCAATCGTTTATTTAAAGTCTTTGGAAGCAGATTAAGTATTGATTAATCTCTGTCTCGTACATGGGATATATATTCAGTTGCAACGGATCATCTTGAAGTCATTTATACGTGGTAAAGTGTACAGAACGGAAGGTGAAAACGTTTTGTAGGAATTCCGAGCAGGAGACTTCGTGAAATTGGATTAAACGGGACAGATAGAAATTCAAGTCGGATGGCGTATTGATCTCTTTCAATTTCGTATCGATATGAATACCGGATACGTTGAATTCAGAATGCCGGATGCAACGGAATGGTATGCGATGAATGCAGAGCGTAAAAACATGCAAAGTCGAGACTATTCATGCAAAAGCATTATAAAGCGGCATCCACATGAAGAGGAATGGGAGGAGGGCAACTCTGATATTGCGTCGATATACCGGTGGGATTTACTTAAAAAAAAAGGAAAAAAAAAAAATTGCAACGTTATCGTAACGCAGCTTTGGTAGGGGAGTTACATGTTTTTTATAGAGAAATAATGGCGTGCCAAATAAATGCGAAATAACGATGCACTGGTGGACGACATCTAATACCGTTAACAACATTCGGTCCGACCGACAGCCCTAGTAATCGCAACATATCGCAGTTATAAAATCGCAACCCCCACTCGTCTGTTTTGATAAGAGATTAAGGTAAGGGAAAAAAAAAATTTGCTCGTGCGAAAAACACCAGTTGCCCAAAATACATTTTTAAATACTTATTCGTTGGCGGGGTCGATAATAACTGTGACGTGTCCAATTTTCAAAACATTGCCAAACAAAATAACGCGGTCGTTTCTTTTTCGCTTTACGCGAAATGCTAGTCAAACTGAATACGGATTGGATAACGGTAGGCGTTTTGCCAAATGATACGTTCTGTTTGTAAACTATAATTCACGTGGGTACATATACGTCATTGAAATGATATGCGACCATGGTGCAAAGCGGGGTAAAAATATATATGTACATATACAGAGTGGGCCATTTATAGTGACCAGGTTGATTTTTTTCGGAAACGAAGCCAGATACGAAGGAATATTTCAGACGGAAGTTGTAGGGTTTCAAGGGTGACGGAATATTTCGTTATTGGATTCCGTCCTGAGTGCAGGCGTTGAGGTAATTCGAAGATTAAATTTCACTTTTTCAGTGGGCTGATGCAATTTTTCTTCCGGAAATCGAAAGAGCATTCAATTTTGAATCTGAAAGTACAAGTACACTAATGACCAAAAATTGACAGGTGATAAGATATTTTAAAAATAAGAAAAAAAATATCTGTTCTAGGTAGCCCATGTCTGGGGCACATTGTGGATGCGGCTTAAAGAGTAATCTGACTAGGACCATTAGCTGGCTAGGGACGTTAAAGATGCCTGGTTTAAATTCCGTCGAGTTTCGCGCTCCACTAGGATTCGAATTCCTTCTAGAATTTTGGGAAC